ACTGCAGATAATGTCTCGGTATTTTCTCATAGCATTAGGGTTCTGCGTGCTAGATCTTTCGCACCTTCACAGTTGGGTGGATTTCATAGTACAGTTTCTTTCTTGGTTGCAGTGTTTGACTCTTGGTGGGGGAGTCTGGATGTTTGTTGGAGACACTTGCTTATTCTAAAGAGCTTTCCAAGAACCTACCTTCATCCAGTCTCTCTGGTTTTAATAGCTGGAATTTTGCCAGTGGAGGAACCTGCAGCTGGATTCAGAGGATATGATGATAGGTATAGGCACTTTAAAAAAGAGCAGGGTGGTTTCAGACTAAATAGGGCTTGAATCCACCAAAATTTCCTCCCCACCCCCATCTGCCGCTAGACAAGCAGTTTATTCCCCCATCCCCAGTGGATTTCGTGGGCTCCCTGGATCGAACTCTGGTTGCCCACTGACTCTAGCTCCCCTCCAGCCACCAGTCGCGGTTCCTAAGGATTCCTGTCTTAAAACATCTCTGAAAAGAAATGAAAGCAGGGAAAAGGGAATCCTCCTCCATGCTGGGGAGCTAAGGGGAGAAGCCTGTGCTGTACAATACTTAACTTCAAAAAGAGCATCTGTGCGGTGAATGCTTTGCATTTCTATCCTCCGCTAGCACTGTGTGTACACGATGGTGCTTTGGGGTAGAAGTTATTCAGCATGCTACACTCATCCTCTTCTTTTGCAGATGACGAGGAAGCGCTTAACTCTATTATGAAGGATCTGGCAGCACTGGGCAAATGCGGGGGACTGCTGGACAGCAACAGGAACAAAACCACCGTTTACTCTAACAAACAGGTGAGCTACCTCCAGAATCCCATCGGCATGGCTGGCTCACTCTGCGGAACTCTTAGAAATCTGGGCATGGCGTCAGTCACTGCATTGAGAAATGTGATTATTCATTCAGGTGCCATAGGAGGGCATGGCTCTCTATGGACAGTTAAAGAGAAAACAGGCTCCCTGCTTCAGAATTTGTGCAGTCTAAGATAAGTACAGATGCAACACAATGCAATAACTGGCAACTCCCACCAGAACAGGAAATTAAGAGCTGTGGGCCTGATTCTCAGAGGTGCTGAGTACCTCCACAAACAGTTAATGGTAGCTGTGGGTGCTCAGCACCTCTGAAAATCAAATCACTTTACCTACGTGCCAACAATCAACGAATGCATTAGATGTAAAACCAGTGATCTGGAAACCTGGTGCATCATAAAACTGTGTGCTGTTTAAAACAGTAACTCTTCACTGAGAAGTTGAATTCAGTCTGCAGCTCTTAGGTGATAGGATATTCCGTCTTGTTAAAATCGGGCAGGGTTAGTGCAATTCTGTTTCAAAAAGAAGGTAAATATGAGGCCTAATTCTGAAGCTCCCATGGACTTCAAGGGCAGGCATATATTGATTAGTTTTCCTTATTAATAATAATATTTGTATTACTGTAGAGCCTAGGAGCCCTAGTCGTGACCAGGACCCTATTGTGCTAGGCACTGTACAAATAAAGAGCAAAAAGATGGTCCCTGTCCCACAAGCTTCTCTCTCATTATTTGTCATGATAGTGTGGAGTGAGCCAGCGCTGCACAGACACACAGTAGGAGTCATTCCCTGCCCCAAGGAGCTCTCCGTCTAAACAGGCAGGACTGACTAAGAGTAGGAGAAAGGAAAGTTGTCCCCATTTTACAGAAGTGGAAAGTAAGGCACAGAGATCAAGTAAATTTTTTCTCCCAAAGTCTCGCACACATACTGTGGCATAGCTAGAAATTGGGCCTAGCTCACATGCGTCCTAGCCAAGCGTGTTCACCACAAGACCATCCTTCCATCCCTTTATTAATATTGTGTTGAATAAAACTCTTGCTTACCAGGTTATGGATGTTGTAATTCTGAAAAGATGAGCCAGTCAAGTAAACTGAGTTTAGGATGTCAGCTAGCTGTGTCATTTGTCGTAGACCTGTTCTACCTCATATATTTTCTTAAGGGCTGAAATAAAAGCATGGGAGTGATAGGTATTCAGCACACTTTTACAAGAAAAGGCCACTTTTATATGGGTCCTGAATATGGATGTAGG